TGTGGTGGAAGGTGGGAACAGATGGTGATGCTAAATGGAAAAGGGTAATGTCCAAAATACACAAATTAATAGGGACTTGAGCAGCCACTGGGACTCAGGACTTGTTAAAGAACGATTCATGGGGGTTAAGGTGGAATGAATGGAGACAACTGAAGCCCGTGTTTTCAGTGACAACTGCCCCTCACCCTGATGGACAAGCCTCGGTCAGGCTCTCAGTGACAGAAGTGTGGGAGGAACTAGTCAGACGGGTTTGTTGCGAGGACATGTGGTAGACTGAGGCAGGTTCAGCTCTGCTGTGCGTTAATTCACGCAGGCAGGCACCGCACCAGACAGCATGTGCTACACAGCCCACTTCTCTGCCCCTTCACTCTTCCTTCGACCATGGTCTTGCTCACAGATGCTCCCAGACCTTCCCCTCTCAGACAGAACCCAAGATTCCTGCCTGGTCCCTCGATGTCTGTTGAGCTCCCTGCTTACACCCCCCACCTCTTCCTCCCACCAAATCTCTTGGAGGTCTTCATAGGCTGCCTCCATGTCTTTGCTACCCCACCTGCTAAGCCCTTGTCTTTAGCTTCTCAAACAATACTACTTTTACCAATGACTTTTTTTTTTAAGTAAACTTTACACCCAATGCAGGGCTTGAACTCATGACCTAAAATCAAAAAGTCAAAGGCTCCACCAACTGAGCCAGCCAGATGCCCCTACAAATGGTTTCTTCTTCTTCAAGTTTATTCATTGAGAGAGAGAGAGAGAGAGAGAGAGAGAGAGAGAGAGAGAGAGCTGGGGAAGGGCAGAGAGAGAGAGGGAGAGAGAGGATCCCAAGCAGGCTCTGCGTTAACAGCACAGAGCCCAATGCGGGGCCCGAACTCAAGAACCATGAGATCATGCTGAAACCGAGAGTCAGTCCCTTAACCGACTGAGCCACCCAGGTGCCCCCTACCAATAGCTTCTTAATCACTGGACCCAGAGGCTCTGGCTCAGCCCTCACCATTTTTTTTTTAAATGGTGCTACAACAATTAACAGTGATGTTGAAATTCCTTCCCTTGGGTCCCAGGGCCCAGCACTACCCTGGTTCTTGGTCTGGTCCACTGGTCCGGTCCACTGTCTCCCCTTCCTACTCGTTCAATATATATACATTTTTAGACACTTGAAGATTCTGCTCTCATTCCTCAGCGTTTGCACCTTTCTATTCTCTCCTCAGAAATCACTCACTCCCAGAGCTTCCTGCTGTCTCCTCCAACGCAGTAAAAAGGTCCAACTCTCTCCATTCTGCCCTGAATCCATCTCACCAGCTTGTCTTGGGTTTTCAACTGCCTTCTGACCATTTCTCCTCAACTACACACCAGAACCCCAGATTCATAGTTCTAATATCTGATCTTCCTGTCTTCGTTAACCTTGTCAACATTATCCGTGTTAGCCAGATTCTAAACTCCAACATCATCTCCTTCCCTGATGTATAAGCGGTCACTGTGACCTATAACATTCTCCCCTGGAAGGTCTCTCGTATTTCTCTCTCCTCCCCATCTTAACTTCCAATAACACCTTAGCTCAGCCCTCTTTCATCTCCTAAAATACTGCAATTGTTTTTAGCTGATCTTCTTGCCCCTCAACTATCCTTTGCAATCCAGCATGCACTGCGCTGGGAGAGCATTCTCCATGTATATCTCGTATTCCTGCACTGACTGAGGTCCCTGAGCACAGGCATTTACACCAATTTAAGAATATTTACATAAGGAGACACTCCAAGGTAGTAAAGCCTGGAGAGACCTCTCCCTCCCAAGATGTTCCAGGGTGGTAAAGATAAAGACCCTGCCTTTCCTCCCCAGAGATCTGTTTACATTCTGAGTAAAGATAAACACTCTCCGCAGAGAAGTAGGAGCAGGTCACCAGCAACTCCATATGAGATGGGAGCCTAAGTGTGCAGTTCCTCACCGGTAATGCACCCATTGCATGGGCAGGTACCAACGGGCCCTCCTCACTGTGTTGCCCTGTGGCACGTAGGGGAATCAATCAGGATAATTTACTTCTTTTCCAGGTAGACCCTGTGTTCTAGTCAATCAGGATGTGTTTCCCAAAACACAGGCATACATATCCTTCCTCCGCGCCCTGGCCATGCCTAGAATGCTATACTTAGATTGCAGATGAGGGGGAAAAACCAGGAGGCACCAGTGCACAACACGCCCACGGTCAACTCTGAGAAACAGTGAGCCAGACCACCGATTTCTTTTTTTTTTTTTTTTTTCAACGTTTTTATTTATTTTTTTGGGACAGAGAGAGACAGAGCATGAACGGGGGAGGGGCAGAGAGAGAGAGGGAGACACAGAATCGGAGACAGGCTCCAGGCTCCGAGCCATCAGCCCAGAGCCTGACGCGGGGCTCGAACTCACGGACCGTGAGATCGTGACCTGGCTGAAGTCAGACGCTTAACCGACTGCGCCACCCAGGCGCCCCCACCGATTTCTTTATGTATGCTGCCATGGCCCCTTCTAGGTGCACTGGTGGGAAATCAGCCTGGCCATAACCAACTGAAGACCAGTGCGGCAGCCCCTGGTGACCACAGTCCAGTTGGACATCGGGGAGCTGAAGTGCCCTCTGGGAACGCTTAGCTTGAAACACTGTTGAACCGGGAGCTCTGCATTTGATGGTGTCCAACAAATCCAAACATTTCCTCCCCTCTGAGAAAGTTAAAGGGGTAAGAAGAGGCAGCTCAGGTTCCAGTGTGAATAAGTGAGTTGTAGTTTCAGTTCTCCGTGAGGCTCTATTTTCCAATCCTAGCCTCTGCCACATTTCTCGGTATTCGTGCAGCAAACTCCCTACCAAAGAGAATACGGGCATGTGTCTTTCTTGCAGGCCTCAACCTTAATCCAAGTGCCCCCCTCACCGATCCCTAAGGTAAGTATACACAGATGCTAGTCAAAGAACTGTGTGTAAACGGCAAAACAGAAACATACCCATTAATATGAGCTGGTTCAATTATCGTATTTCATCATGAATTATAAGATACATCCCAATTTTGGGGCACCTGGGTGGCTCAGTTGGTTAAGCGTCCGACTTCAGCTCAGGTCATGATCTCACGGTCCCTGAGTTTGAGCCCTGAGTCGGGCTCTATGCTGACAGCTCAGAGCCGGGAGCCTGCTTCCGATTCTGTGTCTCCCTCTTTCTCTGCTCCTCCCCTACTCACTCTGTCTCTCCCTCAAAAATAAATAAACATTAAAAAAAAAAAAAAGATACATCCCAATTTCACAGACATAAAATATCAATAAAATAGCCCACAGTGGTTTTATGTCATTGGTCATTCTAATATGGGGGGAAAAATGTGCACTTTTTAAAAAACTAAGGTACGGTGCATTCATACAGTGGACTCTTCTGCAGTTGGGACAGGTATAATAAGAGCTGTGGGAGGGACATTTCCTTCAGGACAGAGGGTGGGAGGAAACCAGAGCAACGACTCCATGCATCGGGTCATATACCTCAAGTTGCCACAAATGGAGATGTACCTGGTGTTACCTGTAAAAGGCTGCGCTTGAAAGGCAGACTTGATTTTATTAAACTAGGTGATGGACATATGGGTATATGTCTTAGTATTATTATACATTTTTGTACGTCTAAAATATGTTATAATACATTTTCTTTAAGCGGGCCTAGCCACCTGTTTTGCTGCCCCTGTTCTTTGGGAGACCCTGTGTCCAACGAGAGCTTAAAAAGTCAATTCCATAAACAAAAGAGTTGAAGGAACTATTCGCTGTCTCTTATTTCCACTTGTAAACTGTTAGGAAAGAAAGAATTTCGCATTCCAGTAACATCTGGTATGTGCACATATCCAATTGATAAACATTTAGAAACCTAAATAATTATGAAAGATCTTGCTTTCTCCTTTCTTAATACTATAGACTCTGGTTTCACATCAACCACAGGTCTACCTAGATTTAAGCAAGGTCAAATTTGCAAAAAAGCTATTTTGGCATAGTTATTAAAAAAAAAAAACTTAGGGGCGCCTGGGTGGCTCAGTCGGTTAAGCGTCCGACTTCGGCTCAGGTCATGATCTCACGGTCGGTGAGTTCAGGCCCCGCATCAGGCTCTGTGCTGACGGCTCAGAGCCTGGAGCCTGTTTCAGATTCTGTGTCTCCCTCTCTCTCTGACCCTCCCCCGTTCATGCTCTGTCTCTCTCTGTCTCAAAAATAAATAAACGTTAAAAAAAAAATTAAAAAAAAAAAACAACAAAACTTAAAAGTGTGTGCATAGTGGAAGGGGGCATTTCAATAGAATTCCCTTAAATACTAACCTCCTCGCTATTTATAAAGTGGTTTGAATTTTGAGGGACACGATTCTCAAAGCCCGGTTTGATACCAAGGGTGCAAGCTCTGGAGCCAGACTCAAGTCAGAACTCAAGGTGGGTGGCACGGTGAAGTCACCTAACTTCCCAGGGCTTGCTTTCTCCTCTGTAAAATAGGGTCAATAAATAAGTTACAGGGTATTGTAAAGATCAGAAATATTAAACACAGCGCTGTGCCTGGCATACAGTCATTACCCAAAACATGGTGATTACTTTTAGGACACCGGGCTTTTTTGTTTTGGTACAGGCTTGCGGACTTTGCGCAGTGCGCCTCCTCGTCTCTCCTTGCTCTCTTTGGAGCATTCAAAAACTCTCTCGCTCTCCATTAGTTTCAGTTCAAATGTGCAGGTTACAAGTCAAGAAAGCCAAGGCCTTTGGGCTGCTTACAATCAAACTAACATAACAGTACAGAAATAATTTTCAGAGATTTTTTGTTCGCTTGTTTTTAATTTGGTAGAAGAACGGCTGCGCCCCCTGGGAAGATGCGCTTTCTACGGACTAGGGAACCGAGAGGTGGTGCAGCATCGCGGCCTCCAAGCACCTTCGGGGTCTCCGCAGACTTCCCGCCCCAGGGCTTGGGGCCGCCAAAGGGTCTCCCGGTCCTCTACCGGAAACTCCCGCTACCGGGGAGGGGAGGGTCCCGAGAGCGGCGGCGTCCGCACTTACCAGGGCGAAGTGCACCAGGGCGTCATAGCACAGCCAGGCGAGCACGCCGCGGTCCGCCGCCGCCCGCCCGCGGCCCAGGCGCAGGCCCAGCGCGCAGCCCGCGACCAGCAGCGCGGCGCACAGCAGCAGCGAGCGCCCCGCCGCAGCCCCCAGCTCCCAGCCCGCGCCCATGCTTCCGGCGGCGGCCGGGAGAGCCAGGAA